AAGAGGGAACCTAGATCCAGAAGGTGTGGAGGAAGGTAGACTCTCCACTGAGAAGTATCCAATCTGTCTAGGCAGGGCTGATGAAAGGAGATGGGGATAGGTCTTCTTGTGATACAATAGTAAATCATTGTTATCAGGACTGATTGTGAGGATTGGAAATGTAAAGGTTTTGTAGCAAGGAGGGGAGTGATTCACTTTTCAGTCTAGGAGCGGAGGTCCCTGGGACCAACAAGGGAGAAGAGCGAAGAGCGGGGCCCTACCCAGAGAAGCAGTGATGCCTGAGATGGAGGCATAGACGATGACGTGGAGAAATGGAGCGGCTGGGGACTTTAGAAACAGAGAGGGAGAGGGGCTGTGTGCAGATGACCCGGGCCAGGCTTGTACTATATACCCTTTGGTTGGTTGATGGTGCATGGAGGGGATTGTAACCATGGCAATGAAATTATATACGATAGAATGAATGTAAAACTAATGTTCTCCCATGTCAACTATCGCATAATTCACAATAAAACATTTTTAAAAATTCTACAGAAGAATCCTGATCAAAACAGAAAAAATGAGGAATGGAACTTCAAATTCTCATGGACTCTAGACTTCCTGGAATCATGAAAGTTGAATGAACCCCTGAAACTACTGCCCTGAGACAATCTTGAAACCATAAAGCAAAAATGTCCCCTGAAGTCTTCTTAAAACCAAACCATCGTTTAATCAATTAAAAAAAAAAAAGTCTGCCTTGATCATTAGCTCTTTATAGAACTTATATGGAAGCAAATGAACAACAGCAACTTGAAAGATGAACTAGTAACTCTAGATGGCAATGAATTTATATCAACGGGGGAGGACTACGTCAGAAAAGGGGATGGTTGTATAATTTGAAGAAATGTAATTCATGTCATTAAATGGTACATGTAGAAACTACTGGCTTGGTGTATGTTTTGCTGTGTATATTTTCAGCAGCAACAACAAAATAATATATATATTTTTTAATTTAGGAACTGTACAACTAATATAGATATAAACATTTGTACAACCAGGATATGCTCATTCACTCTAGCCTCACTAATGCTAATTCTCATAAATTAAGTAGAGAAGTGGCGAGGTCATTTACAAAGTCTTGTGCTCAAGCTAAAAAGAAGATGGGAGAAAGACTGTATGCTGTATTTCCTGAATTCCACGTTTTAGTTTAAACAGGGTGATTTTTGTGAGTGTGTGTGTGTTTTAGCAGTATCACCACAGAAAATGAACAGAAGCGGATTATTCTATGTAATTTGCTCCCTTGGTCACCACTGAAGAGGTCTAGGGCTTTGCAGAATCGCTGGAACACTGCAGACCCAGAACAGTAAATCCCAGGCTCTACACCATTGGGGACCATATTATTCCCAACCTCAGGGTCACAATGAATCTTAAGCTTTTAGAGACTGTTACCCAAACAGCATTTATTAGGTAACAGAGCTTCTGACCAGCAGGAGACAGTCATTGTTACTCACAAATTTGATTTCATTCCATCCAGAAGCTAACAGGCTTCATGATTTTAGTTCACCTTATTAGATTTGGACAACAGTTCTCAACACTATATACTACTCTAAAGGGGCCCCAGAAGATCAAGAACTTCAGGTTGGCAGAAGTTTTCTGATAGCTAATGAAATGGATAGTAGCCACTGAATAACTGTCAAAAACCTTAAGGCTTAAATTACATGTTGTTGTTGTTCATTGCCGTTGAGTCCGTACCAAGTCATAGTGACTCGTATAGGGTTTTCAAGGAGTGGCTGGTGGGTATGAACCACCAACCTTGTGGTTAGCAGTCCAGTGTTTATCATGAACAGTGTTTATACATCACACCAGAGTAACACAGATTTTGACTCCCACTGGTCAAAATCGATACTCAACTCACTTAAGGCTCACTTCCATAATGACCTTTCCAACCTAAATGACACTCTAAGAACTGACCTCCAGAAGGATACACTGAAATCCTCATTCCAAGGGAGAGTCAGGTCCTAAGTCAAGAACCAACTGCAGGAAAGCTTGGTGACTGGGCAGAAACATGGCTGACGAGTTTCAAAGGCAAGAAAAGAAAGTGATTTGGTTCTTCTTTGAAGGGAAAAGAATAACAACAAAAAAAGACTCTACATCTATACAATGAAAAGCTTCAAACTGTTAACTATGACTCATAAGAGGAAAGAAGGAACTGGTCATTATAAACTGTTCTCTGAAGAAGATTCCTATGTACAGCTGTTAGTAAAAGCACAAATAAATATCAGCTAGAGAGAGGCAGCAAGGAAACAAAACAGTTCCCCTTGCCTTTGTACAATACCTAGAACACAGCTCTGGTTTCTGGGCCATGTTGTTGTTGTTAAGCACCGTTGAGTCAGTTCTGACTCACAGTGGCCCTATACAGAGTTTCTGAGAAGCACCTGTGGGTTTGAACTGCCAACTTTGTGTTTCACAGTCTAGTGCTGATCCTACAGCATCACACCAGAAGTCCTTTGGGAAGACAAAATGAAGATGCTGATGATTTCATAAAACTAGTATCTGAAACAAATGAATAGAAAAACCTGGACACAAAAACAGAATCCTAGGCTATCCAAGCCCACTCCTATTTATAAAGCATAACAAAATAACCATTACACACAAACTTTTTGAGTATAAAAAAGAAAAGTGTTGTTATTAGGTGCCATCAAGTTGATTTCAACTCACAGTGATTCCACGTGACAGAGGAGAACTGCCCCATAGGGGTTTCTAGGCTGTAATCTTTATGGGAGCATTCCTCCGAGTCTTTCTTCCACAGAGCAACTAGTTGTTGTTAAGTGCCACTGAGTCAGTTCTGCTCACAGTAACTCTGTATAAAGTTTCCAAGGAGCAACTGAGCAACTGGGGAGCTTGAACCACTGACCTTGTGGTTCAAACAGACCTTGCGGTCCAGTGTTTTATCACACAGCACCACATCAGGACTCCATGGAGTCACTGGGTGGGCTTAAGTCTCTGGCCTTTTAGTTAATACCTGATACCTGACCATTGTGTCAAGGGCTCAGTGGAAAAGATGTATATATTCCAAATCTTCACCATCCACTAAGCTTCTCAGACTGAACCTAGTTATCTTCTGTATCCACCAAATTACAGCCTCAACAGATGACTGGGTGTTCTTCAAAACACTTATTTTCAGTAAACTGCATGATTTTATTTATTCATTGTTCCTACCAAAATACT